ACGAACTCGACGAGCTCCGCGACACCGAGTTCGACATATGTGCAGATCTCGGTTGCACAGAAGGAACAGTCGACTCTTGTTTGGATGACGGTGGCGATCGGTGTTGTGGGTGTGTTCATGGCGACATGTTGATTTGGTTATTGCGGGCTCGATGATGGTCGATATTGTGGCGTTCGGAGTAAAATTGACGAAGGCAGATGGTTTAGTGTTTGGCCAACTCATGCCATGAGTGGGTGCCTCGGAGGGATCGGCGGGAGAGCGTTGATTGTGATGGCGCATACGGATACCCCTAATAGATAGAAGTTCGAATAATACCTCAACTGATAAGCCATTCCGTGCCGGGCGTGCCGTCACCTCCGAAGGATCCGTCTTCATTATATCGCACAATCGTTCTGGGCGCGTCTGAATGCGTCTCCGAAAAAGGCCTGCATGGCGGTATAGTGGAACAGTATGCCTCCGAGAACGGCCATGTGCCAAAGGTTGTGGCTCCCTCCGACATAGTCGAACATGCCAGGGCACCACCTCTCGGGAACCTTGCTGGCGTAGATGAGCGCACCTAAGAAGTATACAAAGATTGACTTCAAAATCGGCGAGTAGAACTGCCAAACCGCAGGCAATCCTCGGCTAATTGAAATCTGGAAGATGGGAAGAGCGCCGGTGCAGCCGAGGCCCACGAAGAACGCCACTCGTGCCCATGCCATGTGGGCGCCGTTGAAGCTAGGGTGCCATGGGAGGATGACGCCGCCGACGCCCAGTAGCGCTGTGGTAGTCATATAAACGACCCGGCTGACGGGCTCGCAGTAGAATGCCGTATACTCTGTCGTCATGATTGATGCAGCAATAAGCAGTGATATGCCAGTATAGTCAACACAAGCAAAAGTTGAGACGAGACCAACATCAGCAACCGCGTTCATTGTGTGCCATATCGTACTGCAGACGAGGCACTGGCAGGCGGCGAAGAAGAACACGGCTGCGATGAAGATGTCCGTCTTGGTGCTGAGGGAGAAGTTGCTGCTCGATGGATAGAAGTAAAAGGCGACGGCGAGGACGATGAAGAAGCCCAGCGCGTGGGACCAGATGTTGACCAGCTCATTGTGGACGCCGAATGCAGACCGCACGCAGCCGAGCTTTGACTCGCTGAAGCGGTAACCCTTGGTGATATGTGGGTTAATCCTCCAGGGAACCGGGAGGTCTTCGTAGGCGATCAGGCCCTTTTCCCTAGCGCGGGCGATGGCCCGTTGGACGTGTTCCTCCAGGCTTTCTGCGGCGTGTTTGGCGCGGTTGATTCCCTCGTGGACTATCTCGCGCGCTCCTTCTATACCCTCATCCACTACGCGGCGGCTCTCGTCCATAATGTGGCCGGCGGCATCGGCCGCGTTCGCAAGTCCTCTTGCTCGCATCTTGGATGCGCTCTCCTCAAAGTCCGAGAGCATACCGTCTAACAATTCGACTCCAACTTTGGCCTTCTCGTTCATCGACTCTGCGGCGGCAAGGGCACCCTGGTATCTCGCCTCCAAGGTTTCGACCATGACGTGGAGTCTCCGTCTCCCTGCGCCAATGACATCTTCAGACACCTGCGAGCATCGTGTCCGCACAGCATGGAGGGTGGAATAGGCGAGCGATATGCTCGAGTCCAAGCTGAGGTCGCCGTAGCTTTCCAGATATTCGAGACGGCGTTCGAGTTCTGACAGAAATACCTCGACCTGTACAGGATGTCAGACTTGGTTCAAGCGGAGCAGAGGTGTCTCTGAGGAGCAGACCTTCAAGAGAATATGCTCTTCCCCTTCCAAAATATGGTTTACTATCGACTTTCTCCGGGGAAGGTTGAACTGCGAGTGTCTCCTTTTGGTCAATCCTCCTGGCCGAAGTTGGGCGTCGGCTCCGGTGCCCTGGGCCTCAACTGGCTCGTCGTGCGAAGCCAGCGAGAAAGAAGATGCGCAGTCCATGATGAAGAAGGACGGTTGACAGGCGTTACAGCCTGCGTAGTACCGGATGCTGCTGCAAGATGGCCGTAAAGTTGTAATGTGCGTCGTCTGTACACAGTACACCGACATGCAACGTCGAACCAAACAAAAGTCCAGGGGGAAAAGGAGGGGATGTGGTTGATAAAACCACGCTGTGTCACCCTCTCCACAGTTGGGTCCAGTCTTCACATGCAACAACACAGTGATTTCCGAAGGGTCGGAAACACTGGCCAATGAGCTAGCGATAGAGGCGAAAAAGGTGCAGCCAAGTCGAGCGAGCCAGCGAACTTTTGAAAGCGTTGAGTGAGGGGAGGGGATCCGAAAGTGCGAAATGTTTCAGGGCTGCGTGTCTGATTCGTCAACGGACAGATCCGGACCCTTCAAAGCGGCGTCGATCGGTTCCTGTAAAATGGGGGCACTGCACAATTGAGGTGTGGGAACAGAAACCGGGTATGCAGCGATTCAGTTGGTTCCGTAAGGATATCCGCGGGTGAAATGTACTGTGGTATGTTGAGTGTAACAGACAAAATCTATGAAAAATCTAGGTCAAATATCGAAAGTGAAGACGACCATCATGAATCAAATTGGCTTATTGAGCAAATTCAAAGGGGGCTGAAGATCCCCTGACGTAGTCACTTCCTCGCGAATACTTGGTACTGGCTGCTTAAACGAAAAAGGAGCTAATTGACTGTTCCTCCAATGGTACGTCATTGCATTGTTGATGTTGGCCGCAAAAGCTCCACCCTCCGGTATACGCCAAGCCCGCCTTACCCGATTCATTTTTCCGGTTCCGGGTCATTCCCGATCCAGTGGATCCCGACTTCAGTTCATCGGAGAAGCCATGAGCGATTGAGCCCGCTAAGGTATCAGCAACCAAGACATCAACGTCAAGGTCATTTGACACCTGACGTCAAAAGCATCTACCGACTAGCAAGATATTGGCTCTTATCGAACACGCCAGCCGTCACCATGGCGATCGACGACCAGGTCACCGACGAGTCCCTAGCCTCGGTGCTCAAGATCTCCCACGAAGCACGCGCCCAGGCCCTCGAGCTCGTCTCCCTCATCGAGAAGTTGAAGCACTCACCCAGCGACAATGATACCCGCGCAGAGATTTCGCGCCAGCAGAAACTGCTCACTACGAATGTGGCCAGGCTGCGCGGACTGCAGCGCAACGCCTACTTTGCGGCGCGCGATACAAAAGCCGTGACGGCCGAGGCGCGGCAGCAGGTCGACCGGCTGCACCTGCAGCTGCAGAATCTTTACTACGAGCAACGACACTTGCAGGGCGAGATTGAGGCGTGCGAGAGCTTCAGGTGCGTACCGACTCACAACAGTAACACTTGTCTCGCTGTTCGGCGGCAGCTAACTAAGTTGTCACTGCAGTCACAAATACCAGGAACTCCCTCTCATCGCGGCTGAGGACTTCCTAACCCAACATCCGGAACACGCAAACGATGACGAGAACGCCCTCATGATCGCCCGCATCGACCATGAGAAGTCCGAGCGCGAAGCCTTGGAGCAGCAGAGGCAGGAACTCCTGAAGCGCAAGACAAAGCTGATCTCGGAGAACAAGAGGCGCCGTGACGATCTCGCGAACCTGGACAAGGACTTGGAGAAGTTTATCGACGTGAGTTGCTCCGCGCTCGTAGTTCCGTCATGCAAAGATGCTAATACTACCATCAGGCTGCGAAACCGATCCAGAAACTCTTCGAGAAAGTAGTATAGAATCAACTACCGGACGAAGAAGAAATAACTGAAGCAAGCACGCCCGACTCCGATATCACACTGGGACGCGATCCGGAAACCCCAGCTAGACTCGCGCAAAAAGCAAGAAGCAAGAAGCCTGAGAAAACAACCACTTGGGGGACACGGGCGATCAGCAGGCACCAACCGCAGGTGATGAGCGACTGCCACCTACTGATGTCATTTTGTGCGGGATTTCGGCTTTGCTGCGCGAACGAGACGCGGGACACCGTTGATACATCACCAACTGAGGATATAAGCCTCACTGCAATCGATACGCGGTGGGGGGGAATCCCCCCCCCCCGGGAGCACAATGCACTTTTCACAGCGATGCTTATGGCGTGCCCCCTGGGAAGCGGCTCACGTGTTGCGACTTGCGCCGTCGAGAGGTGCGTCGGACTGCTGCCTCAAGGGTGGCCATCGCGAGGCAGACGAGGCATGGCAGTCGACCTGGCGCATGGATTGAACAGGCGGGCTATGCTGCTGCAAGGGCTAGGGCGTATCTCAGCGATATAACAGTTCTTACGCGCTTTACAGCGGAGGATGACACCGAGGTGCGCGTTATCACGTTTGCCCTCTGACCTATGCCCTGGGCCCGGCAATGGCAGGTTTTAGGCGGGTTGCATGGTTATAACCACTGCTTACGGGCGGATAGTTCAGAGAACATCATGCAGGTACCCGTAAACGGAGAGAAGTACCGGTACCAGCACGGCATCTACCAAAACAAATGCGGTACCTATTCACAATCTTACGCGTGCGACACATCATCTATGCAAGGGCCCTGATCTGAATCTCTGTGACAGCCACTCGTCGTTCTGGAAAAAGTGTGCCCGGACCTCATGTGGTACGAGATTCCTTCATTTCGTCAGCCATAACTTCCAGTGCGCCGTGCCGGCTGGAACGCTATCGTCTCCGGACGAGATGTCTCGGAACTTGGCCGCTGGGAAATCACAATGGTAGGATGATGTTGATATTCAGATGGTTGACCATCCTGTCTGAGGACAGTAAAGCACCCTGACAGCTTTGTGGGGGTCTTAAGTCTCATACTGATTCGACTATCCTTCGATGCAAAGCCGTCTTACACGACATACACGACATATGTTGAGTAATGGACTTGAGCCGGCAATTGTGTGCATAACTTGGAGTACAATGCAAAAAAGAGTTGTGGCTATTTGACAACCCTGCGATGAGCTTGACTGTTCTCCCGCTGTCTCAGCGAGTATGCCTGTGTCGGTGATATTCAGCTGGAGCGCCGTTCCAGCAAAAAAAATAAATTGAAGCAAAAATGATTGATTAGAGTGGGATTCGAACCCACGCCCTTTCGGACTACGGATAACAGAGAGTTGTTTTAAGGGTTATGGGACCTTAACGTAGCGCCTTAGACCGCTCGGCCATCTAACCTTTGATGTTGATGAGTTTTCTGTCCGCTAGAAGAGACTTTCGCTCCGGACGGTCCGCTGGTAGCGGGTGGACATGATGTGCTCGAGTCGTGAGGATGTTGTTCTACTTGGGTCGGCCACGCCGTCTCGTTGCGCGCCATTCCTGTGGTCGCGACTCCCGTCGTGAGAGAGCGAAACCCCAGCCCCATGTTGGACTCATTGGACAGGCATGGCCAGGGTGGAAGCACCTCCCGGGGAATGTCTCGCTTGTCTTTGTAGCTAGAGCGTCTCGGCCCAGGAGGTGGCTCCGAGCCCCAAGAGATCTGTCCGAGACATGAGTATATCAGGGCACACGTGGGGAGAGGCCAGACTCCCGGCTACCAAGCAGCGCCGTCTGGAAGCTTGGACCTGAATTCAGATCAGTCTCGCGAGATGTCGAAGGTCTGGACCGTTGGACGTTGTTGCTTCGAGTGCGCCTTGCCTAAAGCGGTAAGGCGTTTCAAGTGCAGGGAACTATATGGTCCGAGCTCCAAAACAAGCTTTCCTTAGCTCATGTTCAACTTCCCTAACTTCACCAACGACAAGTTCACGTGCAAAACAACGACGGACAGACGAAGCTGAGGTTCAAGTACCGTAGGTTCTGAGGACGAAGGGTCTTTGAGCTAGTAAGTATAAATCGGAATTAGTTAGTCCGAGCTAATCAGAATCTTCGAATTCAACCCACATCAGCCTCTCTCCAGGGGCACCTACCTTAGTGATCGTCACTATTGACAACCACCCGCGGATAGAGTGGCCAGTGGGCGGTCCGTATCGATCCTGTCATCCGTGGCTGATCCCGCAGGCCTTCTACTGGCTCGCCTACTTGCCCAGACTTGGCGTATACAGGTCAAATTGCAGGCCCTTACTAGCTCAAAGGCCCTTCGTCCTCAGAACCTACGGTAATAGCCGCATGCGATATCGTTCACTGAGATTATGTGGGCGTCTTCCAATGCCTCAATTTTCCACACCTTGTTAGCGATGCTACCAGACATGCGCTAAAGAGCCGTGGGTTCTTTGATATCGGCCCCCGTTGGTACCTCCAGCTATGAACACCATGGCAGACGGCATTGCCCTCTTCTGCCAAAGCCATCGGCACCTTATCGCCTGTTTCTCGACGTCTGTCTCGGCTCGCCGATGCTGCAGAGTGAAGAAATGCACGGAGCATAAGGCCTCTACCTTGGTTGAAATGGTTGTCTCTGTTTTGTTTCGGAAATCTAGGGCAAGAGAGACGCCACAAAGCAAACTTCGTATGTCACTGTCCGATGCTGTGTTCATCTCAGATACTGATATATTTATTCCGAGTCAGGTCCTCAAGATGAAAATGGACTACTTGGAATTGGACTGCAACCCCGACATGTCAACAGCACCAATGCTCAGATTGGCGAAGACTGAACCGGCATCAAATGCTTAAGTCGACATTCTTGCCCGGTCAAGCCAACCATGCGTCTTAAGCGAGAGCAGTCTTTTTTATTAGTTGTCTCATTGATCCCAGATTTGCAGAGATGCCATTCTTCCGAAAGAGCAGAGCAAAGGCAACGAGGAACTTGAGGAACGTTACTACCTCACACAGATGGCCATGACACTGTACGACTGGAACCGCCTTTTGCTTGGAATGGAAGAAACAGAAGTGACGGTCGTGAAATGATCAATTCCTGGTCCAAGGCAGCAAAATATTGACAATGCCCCGGGCCTCAACCTCCGTTCAAGTGAACGTTGCCCGTCCGGGCAATATCTCACCACCCTGCGAGGCATTTCCCCTTCCCCACTAAGGGAGTCGGCAACCAGGATCAAGTTCCTCGTAACTTTCCTCGAACGTGGCTTACATGCAGGACTCAGTCTTGCAAGTGTCCTCATTTCCCTGCAGGGTCCCATCTGGTGACCAGGCGGGTTCGAGGAGAAGACAAACCCGCAACCTCAGCCGCCATCTCGGGCGTCTTCACTTACCTTGTTTTCCCATCTTCCGCTCACTTTCAGGTCGTTGGACCTTTCCCCCATCTCCTACGTTGTTAGGCGTCCCGCTCCTTATTCCGCCTCAGACGTTCCTTGCTAACATTTGTCAACACCTTGCTTCGCTGAAGCGGACGGTCGAGCCTGCTCGCCTCTGTTATCTGCTTCTCTCGCCGCACTCAGCTGCCTTGTCTCCGGGTCCCCTCGTCAACACCACGTGTTAAGCGGTGTTGATCCTTTTCAGAGGTTCGGCGCAACGTCTTGCGGCCTTCACCAGGTCCGACAACTGCTCGTTTGACAGATCGTCGCAACAGTTCGGTCCATGGCAATCTCGTCCATCCCAGCATGGGCTTCGCGCCGCGCCGGCGGGCTAGCTATGATCGCCCTTCTCACTCTAACATACTGGGTGATCTCTTCGGAACTCGAGATTCAACGATATAGCTTTCAGTATCAACAGCAGGACAGTCCTACTGTACCAACTTATCAGCCGAAGCCGTCGGCCATATGCGTCAAATTGTTCGCCTACTACTGCCTGTTCATTCACGTGCTCGTTGCCGTGTTCCCAGTGCGATCGTGCTGGGCTATATGGGATATCACTCGGAGTCTCAAGAAGGTGGCGCGTAGCAAGACGCTTCAGAACGTTAAGTTCCCCAGCAGCCGCCGGGGTTCATCTGCTTCGCTTTCTAGTGCCGAAACTTTGACATTGGCTCTCGACTCATCGGCCTCCAGCTCCAGTAGTGAAGCTGGAGGTGCCGAGTACTTCACCGATGCGGCAAATCCGGTTGACAGCGTCGTCCACGCCATTATCGTTCCCAATTATAAGGAGGAGGTGGACACCCTGAGAGAAACATTGGAAGTCCTGGCTTCCCATCCTCAGGCACGCGACACGTACGATGTAAGCGCTCTGAAACAGCACCACTGGCGAGTCCAGGGGCTAACTAAACTTTCACAGGTATATCTGGGCATGGAACAGCGCGAGAAGAATGGCGAGCTCAAGGCACTGTCTCTCATCTCCGAGTTTATAAAGAAGTTCCGATCCATCGACTTCACACTCCACCCCTCCGACATTCCAGGCGAGACCGCCGGGAAGGGAAGTAATTGCGCTTGGGCGGCACGGAGGATGAGCGAACGATATTCCCTTCACACTCGCAAAAATGTGATTGTCACCAGCATCGACGGTATGTTCCTCAGCCTTCAACTTCCCAGCATCACCGTAACTGGGCTCGCGACATGCCGGGCACCTTACCTTTGGCCGATGGTTCGCTGACGCCTATTTCCCTCTGTATAGCCGACAGCCACCTGTCCTCGAACTACTTTGCCCTAATCACCTCGATGCACCTGAAATTCTCAGATACCGCCAACACAACCCTCTACGCGGCCCCTATCATTTTCGATCGCAATGCGGACAAGGTCCCCGCCATTGTCCGTGTTGCCGACATCCTTTGGTGTGCTGCGGGCATGTCGGGCTTATATTCTGGCTCAACCACTGCCCCTCCCACTTCCGTCTATTCGCTTCCTCTCGAACTCGTCGACCGTGTCGGAGGCTGGGACTGCGACAACGAGTCCATTGGCGAGGATCTGCACATGTACATCAAGTGTTTCTTTGCGCTCAACGGCAATCTGATTTGCCGGACCATCCTCAGCCCTGTCAGCCAAACCAATGTTACAGGGGGTGGTCATGGCAAAGGATACAAGGGTGCCTTGGCTGACATCCAAGCGCGCTACAGGCAAGCAATGCGCCATATGTGGGGTGCTTTGGATACTGGATACGCATTAAGGAAAGCCGTCGAGCTCTGGAAGGAAAGAAAACACACTTCGAGGGCCTTTCAACCTCTTCATACTTCCGTGTAGGTCTTCGCAGGATATCCGGAGTGCTGCCGAACTGAAAGACGCTTACTCATAACTGTCCAGTGACACCGACTCCGATATATATGTCCCCGAAACACAGTTGGATACCACAAACTCTGAGGCCGTTCCCGAGAGCGGCATCTTCTCGGATGTTACACAAGACACCTTGAAAGCACCCAACTACATGCGAATTCTCTACCTCTTTCATCGCCTGTTCGAGGCGCACTTCCTCCCCGTTCACATGACTATACTCATATTTGCCTCGACCGCGTACATGTTCGTTGCTGGACACTCGGGCGACCGCTATGGGATTGCGTGGATCTTCTTCACCTGCAGCATCCTCCGCACTCTTGGGTTCATGCAGGTGGCATGCTACCTGTTCCTCTACGAGGACTTCCATAAAACGTGCCTGGCGGCACGCGAACAGGAGATACTAGACGCTGGTCTTGCGAAGGGGATGCACTTCTCCCACCGCGCTGCGAGACAGAACTTCGTCGACTATGTCATGGTGCCGCTCGTGGCGCCCCTGTTTGGCTCGATACCTTGCGCGCAGGCGCAGCTCAGTCACTTCTTCACCCTGGACCTTGTGTATACGGTCAGCAAGAAGGTGACTCGGCACCGAGCCACGTCACTACAGTCGGAAGCGATGGTGTGATGAAGCAGTGGTGTGGAATTCCTGGCAACCGCCACGTTGGATTCCCTTGCTCCTCTGACCCCCTCTCAAATGACCTAGCTGTATGATAATCATGTTTTCATCAAACAGTCCACACAAATGATAGCTGCGGGCCAGGTTACATTGTCTGAGACCGGCACCTTTGTGTTCAACTCTCGAGACCTTCGATTCTAGAGCTGCGAACGGCGCTTTGTCATGCCGCTTTTCCAGCAGCTAGCCCGAGCCTGGCAAAGCCCCGTGTGTATATAAGGGTGAACTACGGTGTTGATAAGCGTTGATCATCATCATTGGGCCAGTCCGTGTGTTCCACCCCATGCTTTCCCTGTTGGGCGCTTTCACTGGCCACTCGGAGCACAAGAGGGGAAAGATGATGGATGTCTTGTTCGGAGGAGTTCGCTCAAGACGAGGAGAGAGGGAGGATATACCGTTATCGTGGGACTGGAAGAGAGTCAAGTGCAGTAACATCAGGGTGTCGAGTCCCGGTCCGGGACCATCTGTCAACTCGTCACTTGTGC